CAGAGAGAGACAGAGAGAGACAGAGAGACAGAGAGAGGAGGAAGAGGAGAAGGAGGGGAAGGGAGGGGAAGGGAGGGAAGGGAAGGGAAGGGAAGGGAAGAGAAGAGGAAACAGAGACAGAGACAGGGAGAGCCCCTGCCTGACAAGTGCAAGGTCCTGAGTTATATTCCTGGTACCAAAAAAAAAAAAAAAAGAAAAGAAACAGTGAAAGGAAGGGAGAGAAAAAGGAAGGGAGGAAGAAAGGGGAGAGAAAGAGGCTCCCACTGAGCCAGTGGTAGCTGGCTACTGGCACTCATAGGGTAAAATCACCTGCTTTTTCTCTGAAGGAGCCCACTAAGCTTATTCCTTAGGCAGAAAGTATGAGGCAGGCTGAGATGTGCTTGATCCTTCCTTCTGTAAGGAAGGGAAGAACAGGCTGGTGGCAGGTAAGGAACAGATGGTCCTGGAACATCTTGTTTCTAGGGCCTCCTCCTCACCTGAGCCTTCCTCCTCACCCTTCCAGGGAGCAATGGGGGGCTGGACTGGGAGTCAGATGGAAACCTCAGGATGGCCTAAGAGGGCTAGCACAACCTGGCTCAGGATCCAGGGAGGAGCTGAGTCCCTGCAGCACCACGGGGAGGGGACTGAGTTGGGAGCCTGGAAGCTGAGGTCAGACCCCCACCCTGCAGTGTTCCTCAGCTCCCCGAAGATCCTAACAGGCTGGGCCTTGCTTCTCCACTTTCTGTCTGCCGAGTCTGTCTGAGGAGTCCTCTTGCCCAGCGGCCCTCAGCTTTTTCCTGAGAGAAACTCAGCCCCTGCAGTGCACACCCCTCCACACCCAGATGCCTGAGTAGCTTCCTCTGGCCCAGCGATGGAGAAGCGGGTGGGCAGGTGAGAGGAGGGGCTGCTGGGTGGCAGGGTCACTGGTCCCTGGAAGTCTGGGGAAGGATGACTGGGACCCAGCAAGAGAGGAGGCCTGCTAAGGTGACTAAATGTGGGGTGTCCACGGGTGGGGGGGGGTCACAACACCTCCAACATAGCCTCATGACAACCCCTTCTTTAACTTGCAGACCCCGGCTGTGTCTGATGCTGCTTCTGTCTCTCCCTCAGCTCTGCCTGGGCCAGGAGGTGAGCCCTGGGCAAGTGAGCCACTGCGCGCCTGCGTCCCTTCAGCTTCCGGTCCCCTCCCCCAGCTCTCCTGTCTGGGCTCCTTGTCTCAGAGCCTCAGCCATGGCCCTATCACCTGCCTTTCTCTGACAGCCCCTAACTCCTGGGGAAATCACAGGGAAACCGCAAGGCTGAGTTTTCCTTGTGCTGCGCTCCTCAGCGTGGCCACAGCCCTGGGCGAGGGGGCTGCTCCACACTGTTCCCCTCGCATCACTAGGCTTGTCTCACCTCTCTTTCTGTGTAGGTCTTGTCTGGACATGCTCTTCAAATACCCCAAGAGGAGGGCCGGGTCCCTGAGGGTGTCTGGGGACCTTGGGACCAGTGGACTGCGTGCTCCCAGCCCTGTGGGGTGGGGGTGCAGCGCAGAAGCCGGATGTGTCAATTCCCTCCAGGCCTGGCCCCACCTCCCAGGCCTCCAAGATACCCAGAAGCCCTGCGCCCCCAGGGCCGGGGTCCCAGACCTCAGACTTCGGTAGGAACCCGGCCCCTCCACAAGCCACAGCCCCGGGGAAGGGGCGGCCCACTTCGAGGTCCTGCTTCCCACGTGGGGAGACAGGAGCCCCAGGAGGCCTTGAGGTGAGGTTCTGGGAAAGGGTCAGGGCTTGGTGGAGGAAAAGGGAGCTAGATATGAGGATATATGGCTTCAGAGGCCTATCTCTGGCACCAAGAAAAGGGGCAGGATGAACAGAGCTGTGACTGACCTCACGATTCATGTCTGCAACACTTTCTCAGGTCCTGGGTTCGAGATCCCATCAAGCCTGGCATGTTTGGCTATGGGAGGGCACCCTTTGCCTTGCCACTGCACCGGAGCCGCAGACACCCTGGGCTCTCACCCAGGCCTGAGCCCTCCCTAGCCTCTGATGCAGTGAACTGGACGCTTCCCTCCTCTTCAAAGCACAGCCGCCAAGTTCAGCTCCCATCTACAGGATCTGCTGCTCCCACCTCATCCCCCTCAGCAGAACCCACCAGGTCCCAAACTGCTGAGGTAGAAGTGTCTCCCAGAACCAGCCCTGATGCCATACAGCCCCACCCCAGAGCCCAGGCCTCTGGAGGTGGAGGGGCCCCCTCACGGACCTACTCTTCCTTGGGAGAAAGTGGCTCCTTCCTCTCCTCCCCTCAGCCGAGAATACCTACCTCCCACCGCCTGGCCAGCCCCCAGGTAGCAGGCAGACACCAGGATCCTTTACCTTACCTCCCTCGGGGCCAAGGCCAGCAGAGCCAGGGGCATTGGCAACCCAGGGGGAGTCTTCCAGTGTCCCTCTCTGAGCCTGCCCGTCATTACCCACATGGGTGGCTGCCTCTGCTAAGGGCTGGGCCCCACCCGAGCTCCCTCTGGAGCCTCTTCACTCCCAGTGAGCCTGTCCCAAGATGTTCTGGGGAGAGTGAACAGCTTCGAGCCTGCAGCCAGGAGGTGAGTTCTGGCTGGGCATCCTCTTCCAGCACTGACTTCTGCTCAGTTCCCTGATACTGTTTGCGCTCTTAGCTTGTCTGATCTGGAGCCCAGGACCTGACCTCCTCTCATGCCCCAAATCCAGCCCAGCTGCCACCCTGCCTTCCTCCCCAGCTCCCACTGCTTTGTTTCCCCACCTCAGCCCTGTCCCCCGGAGCAGCCAGATCCCAGGGCCCTGCAGTGTGCAGCCTTTGACTCCCAAGAGTTCATGGGTCAGCTATACCAGTGGGAGCCCTTCACGGAAGGTGAGCATTGGCCCATGCCCATGGTGCCTCGGGGCCGGGGAAGGTGGATACAGGGAGGCACCTGCTCACTCTCAGACTAGGGGGTTTCCAACCCTTCTCACCGTGTAGACCCTTCTCTTTTTCCTGTATCACACCTGTCTTACCAAGTCATTGACTCAAAGTGACTTAGTGCAGGCCTGGAAGGGAGAGGCTTCCGGATAGGCCTTCAACTGTCACACCTGACTGATGGCAGCACAGGGGTCAGGCTTGAAGAGAGAGGGGTCTAGAGGTGCCCTTTGGCTGTCTTCCTCTGAAAAGACATCCATTCTAGAGGTGGCGTGTTTTGGAGGGTTTTTTTTTTTGTTGTTGTTGTTGTTGTTTGTTTGTTTTTTATTTTTGGGTTTTTTTTTGTTGTTTTTTGGGGTTTTTTAGAAGTAGGGATTGAACTCAGGCCCTTGCACTTGCCAGGGAAGTGCTTATTCTACTGAGCCATCTCCCTGGCTCGGGGTGGTGTGTTTGTGACATGAGAGATTTTGTACAGTGTTCACAACAGGATGGGCTGTGCCATGGATCCAGGGTATCCTATCAGCTGTTGTCAAGTAACCATCCATACTCTGGTTTCTCTTTGAATCGTATAAATCTTTCCCCTTTTACCAAGTAACCATTCACTTGAGTAGGCTATGTCACCCTTGCGAGCTCAGTGCCCACATAACTATAGGTGTCAGAAGCCCCCTTGATGGCTGGACACAGTGATACTTATCTATAGACCCATCTGCTTGAGCCTGAGGAGGGAGGGTCACTTGAACCCTTGACTTGGGGGTCAGCCAGGGAATTTATGGAAATCCTGGCTCAAAAAACAAAACGGGGGCTGGGGAGATGGCTCAGTGGAATAAGCGCTTCCCTGGCAAGCGCAAGGACCTGAGTTCAATCCCCAGTTCCGAGAAAAAAAAAAAAAAAAAAAAAAAAACGGGCTGGGGAGATGGCTCAATGGAATAAGTGCTTCCCTGGCAAGCACAAGGGCCTAAATTCAATCCCTGGTTCCGCAAAGAGAAAAAAAAACAAAAAACAAAAAAACAGCTGCCCAGCATGGTAGTACATTCCTGCAATCCTAGTAATTTTGGAGATACAGGAGGACTGCAAGTTTGAGTCCAGCCTAGGTGACTTTGTCAGACCGTCTCACAATTTAAAAATAAAATAAAATTTAAAAAGGACTGAGAAGCTGAATATGGTGGCACACACCTGTAATCCCAACACTCAGGAGGCTTAGGCAGGAGGATCCTTGTGAGTTGGAGACCAGCCTGGGCTACAAAGTGAGCTCAAGGGAGCCTGAGCAACAGGCTCAAAAGTACAAAATAAATAAAAAAAGCTGAGGATGATGTAGCTCAGTACACTGACCCTGGGTTCAATCCCCAGTATTGCAAAACAAAACCAAACCTTGACAGTGTCTGACCAACCTTTCAGCGTGTGGAATCCTCATGTTCCCTTCATCCTTGGCAACTTAGCAACTTGCAGTTGATCTATAGACAATGGAAGCAAAGCTGTAGGGATTCTGGGGCATGTCCCAGTTAACCTCCCACCAGCTAACCGCATTCTACCTTGTTTCCTAGTTCAGGGCTCTCAACGCTGTGAACTGAACTGTCGTCCTCGTGGCTTCCGCTTCTATGTTCGTCACACTGAAAAGGTCCAGGATGGGACTCTGTGTCAGCCTGGAGCTCTGGACATCTGTGTAGCTGGACGCTGCCTGGTGAGGGAGCCAGACATGTGTGTGCAAGAATGCACACGCGCACACGCAGACACACACACAGAGTGGTTTCACTCATGGCAACCGCCACCATCAGATGGATTGCCGGGGGAAAGCCTCACCTGTGGAGCCCAGTGGGGCAGACCCATGGGTGGAGGAGTCTAGCAGGCGCACCCCTGCCTCCCTGGGCCTGAGCCTGGCAGGGGATGGTAGGGCCCATGGAGAAAACCACACTCTACTGGTAGCACAGGGAGCAAGGTCACAAATGCAGGGTCCTGAGTGTGCAAGGGGTGTGCATGTCTGGCATTCGTGTGGCCCTGGTCTCATGTCACTTTTCCCAGAGCCCCGGCTGTGATGGGATCCTTGGCTCTGGCAGGCGTCCAGATGGCTGTGGAGTTTGTGGAGGTGATGATTCTACCTGTCGCCTCGTTTCGGGGAACCTCACTGACCCAGGTGGCCCTCTGGGCTACCAGAAGATCCTGCAGATTCCAGCTGGAGCCTCCCGTCTCCAGATAGCCCAGCTTCGGCCCAGTTCCAATTACCTTGGTGAGAACCCAGTCTCCCAAGGCCCACTCTTGTTCCATTTCTGGTCTCCTTGTTCTGCCCTCTTTGTTGCTACTTGATGTGGCAAACAAGCCAAACAGGGAAAAATTGGAAAACTGCAACTGTTCGGGGTATCTTAGGTTCTGTGGCGGATGGTGGAGAGGAAAATAGTGTGACCAATCTCGAGTTTTGGGATCTCTTCTAGCACTTCGAGGCCCTGGGGGCCGCTCCATCATCAATGGGAACTGGGCTGTGGATCCCCCCGGCTCCTACACAGGCTGTGGGACTGTCTTCCTGTACAATCGTCCTCCAAGGGAGGAAGGTCGAGGGGAGAGTCTGTCAGCTGAAGGCCCCATCACCCAGCCTGTGGATGTCTATGTGAGCTGGGGCATGTGAGGCCTTTCCTTCTGCAGAGGAGGAATGCTCTCTAGTCACCCCAAACATCTATTTCTGTCTCTTCTCCCTAGATGATATTTCAGGAGGATAACCCAGGTGTTTCCTATCAGTATGTCATCTCATCATCTCCAGTCCTCCAAAACCCCACTCCAGAGGCCTCCATACCCCAGCTTCAGCCTGGTAAGACTGATCCAGGAAGAGGGAGAGGCTGAGAGGGTTCAGAGGCAGCAGGGAGGCATCTGATCAGTCTACTTAACTTCTGCACAGAGATGCTCAGGGGGGAGCCCCCACGCCCCTCAGTGCCCCGCCCAGCCCGGGCCCCAGGTACCCTCCAGCGCCAGGTGCGGATCCCTCAGATGCCTGCTGGAACCCATCCCAGAACACCCCTGGGATCTCCAGCTGGATACTGGAAGCGAGTAGGATACTCCCAGTGTTCAGCATCCTGTGGAAAAGGTGACACTTTGTGCCTATGTATGTGGGCCTATAGCCTAAATCCCCAGCTTGACACCATGACTGCCTTCCTGACTGATTTCTTGTCTCCTTCAGGCGTGTGGCGTCCTGTTTTCCTCTGCATTTCTCGTGAGTCAGGAGAGGAACTGGAGGAACATAGCTGTGCTGTGGGTGCCAAACCCCCAGACTCCCCTGAGCCCTGCCATGGCCCACCATGCCCTGCATAGTGAGTATGAACCAGAGGGAGGGCTGGAGTACTAGAACCCACCTATTGCCCCTGGACCTGCTCCCTGCTCGCACGATCTTCCCTGGACTCCCTTGGCAATTCCTCCTGGCTACAAGGAGACAGTTTTAAATAAGGACTGACATCCCATAGAATAAAAACCCAGGCAGCCTATACCCCCACAAGAAACCCTAACTCCAAAAGTGGCCAAATGTGGCCACTCTCCATGACAGGCCTCACTCCCAGGGAACCTTGCTCTCCCCCCATGTGGCAGCCTCATGGGTCTCATTGCCATCTCTGCTTCCTTCCTGCCCTGCCACGGCTGCAGCTGGGAGACTGGTGAGTGGACATCTTGCAGCCGCTCCTGTGGTCCTGGTACCCAGCACCGCCAGCTGCACTGCCGGCAGGAATTTGGGGGTGGTGGCTCCTCTGTGCCTCCCGAGCGCTGTGGACACCTCCCCCGACCCAACACCACTCAGCACTGTCAGCTGCACCTCTGCAGCCACTGGGAGGTGGGCTCCACCTGGAGCAAGGTGAGCAGGCTTTGGCAATGGAGCCCCCAAGGAGTGGGCACCCATGAATAAGAACAGCAGTTTTTCCACCTCCTTATTTATTTATTTATTTATTTGTGTGTGTGTGTGTGTGTGTGTGTGTGTGTGTGTGTGTGTGTGGCCAGCTCAGCCCACCAGGGGGCGGCCCCGGCTGGCATGTGGTGCTGGGGGATTGAACCGCGGTCCCTGTGCTTTGCTAAGCTTGTTCTAAGTAGGTGCTTTAGACCACTGAGCCATCTCACCAGCCCCTCCACCTCCTTTTTTTAAAAAAATTTTTATTTATCTATTTGTGTGTGTGTGTGGCCAGGTCAGCCCACCAGGGGGCGGGGCTGGCTGGCATGTGGTGCTGGGGGATTGAACCACAGTCCCTGTGCTTTGCTAAGCTTGTTCTAAACAGGTGCTTTAGACCATGGAGCCATCTCACCCGCCCTCCACCTCCTTCTCAATCAGCAGAAATGTTCTGCAAACGGGGTCGTCTTGCATGGAATCCCAGATAAAAGACTGACCCAGAGATTGGGGGTCTGGGCCTTGGCCTCCTCTTCAGCCCACAAAGCCCTGTAACCACTGAGCTGAGGTTCAAAGGCAGATCTTAGGTAAAAGCCACATAGTTGAGGCTGCCTGTGGCCCAGCTCCCTGGGTTCCCTCTCACACCCTCAGTGCTCCGTGCGATGTGGGCGAGGCCAGAGGAGCCGGCAGGTTCGCTGTGTGGGAAACAACGGTGATGAAGTGAGTGAGCAGGACTGCGCCTCTGCTGCCCCCCGTCCCCCAAGCAGAGAGGCCTGTGACATGGGCCCATGTACCGCGGCCTGGTTCCACAGTGACTGGAGCTCCAAGGTGGGCCCCCGTACCCCTCAGCCAAGCCCTGCATCCCCGTGACCACACCCAGACCACCCTGTCACAACATGTCCAGCACAGCTCAGTGAACACTGACTGAGCAAGTAGCTACTGTGTGCTTGGTGCTGGGAGCTCAGATATGGGAGAAGAACTTGCATCAGTGTGCTGCACACCCAGCAGGTGTCCCCTTGCCTGGCGGGTGCCTGATGCATCCCCAGCTCCCAGGTGCGGGATCCAGGACACCTGCATCCCAAGTCCCCTCCCTTGCTCCAGGCTCCAGCAGCTTCCTTCACACAGGTGCTGTGCTTCTCAACAGTGCTCAGCCCAGTGTGGGACCGGAGTCCAGCGGCGTTCAGTGGTCTGCCTCGGAAGTGGGGAGACACATGGGGCAGGCAGGGAGGAGGCAGGCACAGGGACTGGTGAGGAGAGCTGTCCCCTGGGAAGCCGCCCTCCTGACATGCGTGCCTGCAGCTCCGGACCCTGTGAGACGACGTGGTGCTGGTACACAGGGCCCTGGGCTGAGGTGCGCTGAGGGCCTGGGAGGAGGCCTGGTCAGAGTGCCAGGGGGTTGCATGGCAGCGTTGGAGGTGATCTGTTATTCTTGCTCCTATACCAGTGCTCCTCAGAGTGTGGCTCTGGCACACAGCACAGAGACGTCATCTGTGTGTCCAAGCTGGGGACTGATTTCCATGTGGCTTCTCCCAGCAACTGCTCTCACCTGCCAAGGCCCCCTGCCCTGCAGCCCTGTCAGGGGCAGGCCTGCCAGGACCGATGGTTCTCCACACCCTGGAATCCGGTGAGTGCCTGGCTCTCCTTCCTGCTCAGCCTAAGCCTCCAATGAAGTAGGGGCTCCTCTCACTGCCCCTCAAGCTTCTCCAAACCCTAGGATAGCGCAGCTGAGGTTTCACTTTGCCCATTTTATTTGGACTTGGGGGACAAGTGGGCCCTATCTGTCCAGGACTCCATGTCATCCCTGGATGATAATGTGCCACCACTACTCTTCAGGAGAGAGGTTTGGCCATGGGTTGAGGCCGAGTCCTGGACACAGCAAAAGTCTGATCTGATAGTTTTGGTCTCCCAGTGTTCCCGTTCCTGCCAGGGAGGCACGCAGACGCGGGAAGTCCAGTGCCTGAGCGCCAACCAGACTCTCAGCACCCGGTGCCCTCCGCATCTGCGACCGTCCAGGAAACGGCAGTGTAACAGCCAGCCCTGCATCCAGCACCCTGGTAAAGACCTCTGATCCCTAGCCCCGGCAGAATGGAGTTAGGAGTCAGCAGACAGTGGGCGGAGGTGGGGGTGGGCAGCACACCTCAGGGCACACGGTTGCTAGTGGTGGTCCCCGCTGGCCTCTGTCCTGCCCCCAGATGATCGGTGTCAGGACAGCTCTCCATACTGCCCCCTGGTGGTGCAGGCTCGGCTCTGCGTCTACCCCTACTACACAGCCACTTGCTGCCGCTCCTGTGCACAAGTCCTGGAGCGCTCCCCGCTGGAGCCCGCCTGAAAGCGGGCCCAGGAGACCCCCGTCCGGTTCTCTCACTCCGGCACTGGCCCTCGTCCATCAGCCCGTGCTGTGCCCCTGGCTCTCCAGCCGGTCCCAGGCTTACCCAGGACACCCTCCAGAGCGACTGGAGGTGGTTGTTGATGTGTGGGTCTGTTTGAGGTGTGCTATGTGTGCACCCGCGCTTCCAGACTTGTGTGCGGCTGGCTGCGTGTGTGCGACTGCGGATCACTTCCCAAAGAGAAGTCAAAAGAGCTGGACAGGAATGAGCGCAGACAGTACTTGTTTCCCCAAGACTTTTCTAGGCGGAGAGGAAAGCAAGTTTGCAGCTCCTCACTTATCTGAGCTACTTAGAATGTGGTCTTCTCAGCAATTCGTTTTGTGCCCTAAACCTGGTTTCTCATATGCGGGTCTCACATCTTCTAAACCACTCTTTTGGGCTGGGGGTGGAGGTGCAGCTCAGTGGTAGGCTGCTGGCCAGGCATGCACCCAGCTCTGCGTTTGAACCCCAGCACTGCCAAAAAAAAAAAAAAAAAGCCATCCTTTTGGCCCTGACCTCCCCCCCGCCCTTCACCACCTCTACCTTTGCCTTCCTAATCACCTTGGGCTATCAGCCATTGCCATCACACCCCAGGCCAGAGCAGGGAGCATCTGAACTGAGGGTGGAAAAAAAGAAATGTTAACAGAAGTGCAGCCCATGAAATGGTTCCCACCCCAGAACTAATTTATTTTTTATTAAAGTTGACTATGACAAAGAAGCATGTTCTTCCTTGTCCCATCTGGGGGCCCAGCCACGTGGGCCAACTGAGCAGTATAAAGTCAGAAACACAGGAGGAGGAGCCCCAGAGCGCGGGCGGGCACAGGGTCCTCCAGGCCAGCGCGTCCCTGCAGGGCGGTAACTCGCCACCAGAGGTCACCGCTTCTCCCCGTTAAGTGTGGCGCTGGGGGCTCAGTCCGGAGATAACACAGGGCCTGCGTGGTTTTCTCTTGGGATCTAGCCGCACTCCTTTTAATCGGGGGCTGAGCTGAATGACGGCCGTCTTTGGGGAGTCACGTCTCCTGTTCCCTTTCTTTGGCCCTGCCTTCCTTTCTCTGCCATCTTTTCCACTGTTACCATTTCCCTGGCCTGCTCTGCCTCGCTGCCTTCCGAGGGGCACAAGGGAAGTGACTGCAACGCCTTATCCCTTGTTTAGCCTGTGACTAGAGGAGGAGGACCTGGCGGGACTTAGAGGACTCGGGAGAGGGAGGGCCGGGCAGTACTCGATGTCCTGCCAAAGATACATTCTTCTGAGATGTCTCACCCCAGCCTCCTCCCTCTCCCCCAGCCCGTTTCTTCCCTCAAGGTAAATAACTTGCTAGAGGTACTGTGAAAGCGACAGCCTTTTCCGTAACGCGCTCCCCCTGACCCCGTAGTCCCCATCTCGCCCCTGGCCCAGACAGCCAAGTAACAGCGAGGGGTCCGGACGGCTAGCGGGCCTGGGCCGCCTGGGCCCTGGAGAAAGGCCAGCCGTCATCTTCCCACAGGAGCGCGCAGCTCCAGCAGCCTCCTTCACCTCACACTACTCTCAGGCTTGGCCTGGCTGGAGTGGCTGAGCAGGAAGAAGGCAGACATTTGGGAGAGTGGGTGAGCGCTGGGCTGGGCAGGAACGGAACAGAACAGAAGGGAAGGAAAACGCAAGCAGCTGCAGCCCGGGCTGGGGGGTGAGGAACAGGGAACAAGGCAGGCTGCGTCCAAGTCGCCCAGTCTGAAGAGGAGGCGACAGTCCCAGCCTCCAGGGATCCTGTCGCACAGTCGGCGATGGGCTGAGCCAGCGAGCAGGGTGGCTGCCGGAGGCGGTGGGGCGGGCGGGAAGCAGCTGCCTGCGGGACCCGCCCTCCCAGCTAGCAGTCCTGGAAGTCAGCTGACTCTGGCCCTGGGCCCGCCCTCTTCGGGCTGTTGCTGGGCAGGTTTGGGGCTTGGCCTGAGTCTGAGAGCCAATCACAGGTGGAGAATGGGCAGCCCCAGCCCTGAGGGTCCCAGCCTCAAACGCCCCCTTTTCTCTGAAAGCCCTAGAGCTCTCTCTGGCCTCCTACTTCTCCCTTCGGTGGGCCCGCATCTAAGGGTTTGCCCTCTTTCTTCCTTTCGTTTAAGAGCTAGGTTTCCTTGCAGCCCCTACGGATACCTTCCCCAGGACCCTGAGGTCAGTTCGGGGTCACTGTGGAAGTTACCAGCAAGGGGAACCTGACTCCAAGCAACCTCTCTTCCTGACCTCCTCTGGGGGTGCAGAGTGGACAGACACTCCGGTGACCTCCAAAACTCTCAAAGAGTTGAGAGAGGAAGCTGCAACCAAAGGGCAGCGAGCTGTGGTGGAGGAGCCCCTAGTTTTGGTGTGCTGGAGTGGAAATAGGGAAGGATGCAGAGGAACTGGACCTCCGAAGTTGAGATGGGGCTAGGGTTGTGAGGTGAACAAAGTTCTTTTTTCTCCTTCAGTACTGGAGATTAAACCAAGGGCGAAATTCCCAGCCCTTTAAAAAAAAATCTTAATTTTGAGGCAGGTTTTCAGTAAATCACTAAATTGCCAGTGTACCCTTGAATTTACGCCTCTTCTGCCCTGGCCTCCCTGAACGATGAGATTGCTCACTTGTGCCGCCACACCCAACTAATGGGAACACACGACGACGAGGGAGCCCATGCGGGTCGCTGGCACACTGCTAAGGACGCCTCCTTTCTGTTTGCTGTGAGGCCAGATGGTGGCACACAGAAGTACTTGGGGTGCTCTGTGAGGCCTCAGGTTCAGCTGGAGTCGGGTAGGCTGGGGTGTGGTTCCTGCTTAACTGGTAGAATGTGCTTAGGATACACAGCCAACCCCAGCTGAAAAAAAAAAAGTACTGCTATGTCAGCACTCTCCTTCCTCCCTGAGAAGCTTCTTGGGGTGAAGACCCACCTGGCTGAGGTTCAGCCTCTGGACTGCTCGCAGCGCCCATGTGCCGCCCTGTAAGCAGGCTCTCCAGCTGCACCTCCACTTGCTCACATCCAACCTCGGGGAAGGGAGAGGGCGGCACAGGAGCCAGCTTCTGCCGGGGCTGAGTGTCTCAAGCCCTGCTCTCTCAGGAGCCCGGAGACCCAGGTAGACATCTAGATTGATGGGGAGGGGCCAGGGAGATGGCTCAGTAGAATAAGTGCTTGCCTGGCAAGTGCAAGGGCCTGAGTTCAATCCCCGGTTCTGCCAAAAAAAAAAAAAAAAAAAACACGATCGATGGGGAAAGAAAGAAATGTGGGGGTTGTGTTCTGCTCTCTGCCACTTCCTCTACAATCAGATTTTATTTTTCTTTTTTTAATGGTACTGATGATTGAACCCGGGACCTTGCTCTTGCTACATCCTGGGCCCCAGATCTTTCATTTCTTGCTCTTCCCTTTCCCCAGGTTCTATAATTAGAGACTTTATTTTGTTTTGGAGTCAGTTTAACTGACCTTGAACTCACAGGAGTCCTCCTGCCTCAGCCTCCCAAAGTACTTACCTGCCTGAGACTTCATTTTAACACCAACCCCAAGTCAGCTAAACCAGAGGCATTTTGCTACCCAAGGTTCTTGTTTGGTAGCTCTTACCTTCTTTCCTCCCAACACCCCTAAATTCCAGGCTCCTTGCTAGGAGGCAGCTGGGTGGGACAGTTAGTGCAGATGGGGTTTATTTCTTTGCGGAACCAGGGATTGAACTCAGGCCTTTGTGCTTGCCAGGGAAGCGCTTATTCCACTGAGCCATCTGCCCAGCCCCCACATGGGGTTTATTTCTTACAGGCAGGTAAGAGACTCCTGCTTTCAACAGGAAGTAGAAGGTCTCAGGAAAGTACCTAAAAGTTTAAGTCTGTCAACAAGAGAGAGGGCAGGCCTGGTGGCACATGCCTATTCTCAGCATCTGAGGGCTGCTGGTGCTGGTGGTGTCAGTGTCTTGAGTTCAAGGCCTGGACACACAGTGGCACAGTGGCACAGCCTCCCAACATTCCAGAAGGTTGTGGTAGGAGGATCGCAACTTTGAGTCTAGCCTAGGAAATCTGGTAAGAGCTTCACAAAATTCGAAAGGGCAGGGCTGTAGTTAGTGTGAAAGGCCTGGTTCAGTCCTCAGTACCAGGAAAAAAAAAACCAAACCAAGAGTGAGAAACTGGGTTAACCTCAACATAGCTAGCACCCCCGCCCCAGTAGTGGGGATTGAACTAAGAACCTTTCTTTGCACTGAGCAACATCCCCAGTCCTTTTGAATTTATTTTGAAATAGGGTCTCCATTGGTTGCCCAAGCTGGGGCTGGGGACTTGGCTCAGCGGTAGAATGCTTGCCTAGCAAGCTGGAAGCCCTGGGTTCAGTCCTCAACATGAAAAACAAAAAATAAACCTCCCCTAAAAAACAATTCAAGGGGGTGCCTGGCCTTAGCTCAGTTGTTTAAGTGGCTGCTTCCACAAAGCTATCAGCCTCAGGTTGCTGTAGTTCAATCCCCACAACACAAGACAGCCAGTCATGCCTTGAAGGCATTCGGCACAAAAAAAAACAAAAACAAAAAAAACAATTCAATGAAAAAAAAATACAGTAAAATCAAAAAAGACCAAAAACAAATAAGGCAACATAGGTTGCCCAAGATCTCAAACTTGAGATCTTCCTGTCTCAGTCTCCCAGAGTGCTGGAATAATAGGTGTGTGCCACACATGGCTGGTTTGGGGCTTCTTGACCTGGGAGATGGGGAAAATCTTGAAAGGAGGGTGTTTCGGGGCTGAGGTCAGAAGGTGGGTAGGTGCAGAGAGAAAAATATCCCAGGCTGGTCCAAATCAAGAGATGTTAGGGGCCAGGGAGATGGTTCAGTAGGATAAGCATTTGGCTGGCAGGTTCAAGGGCCTAAATTCAATCCCCAGTTCTGGAAGAGAGAGAGAGAGAGAGAGAGAGAGAGAGAGAGAGAGAGAGAGAGAGAGAGAGAGATGGCTTTGTGCTCCCAGGAAACATTGGCCACAGCAGTGGAAAGGGACCCATGAGGACCACAGAAATGAGACAAGAGTTCTCTGTGAGCACAGAGTGGCTGGAACAGCCTGGGGAGGCCAAGGAGGCTGCGGAGGAAGGCTGTAGCAGGGGGCTCCATGCTGGACTCTTGTGAGCCTTGCATGAATCTCCTGGAGACTGCTGCAGAGCTCTGAGGGAAGAGGAAAAGCAGCTGGGGAGAAGAGGACTGCGAGTGAGCCCGGAATTTAGGATTACAGCTGCTCAGGAGCTGAGGCCGGAGGACTGCAAGGTCCACGCTAGGCAACCTAGTGAGACTGACGAGGCTCACTAAGAAGGAGCTGATGGAAGCCCTGGATCCCTAGCAAAGCCCAGTGGCGAGGAGCAGCCCTGCGGTGAGGCAGTGGCCAGGTGGCCAGGACCCAGGCTCCATCTTTCTGTCCTGTATCTGCCCCACACCTGCCTGCCTGCTGTCAGCTACTGGCTGCTGCCTCTTTTATGACAAAGCAAAGCTATTTTTTAGTTGTCGTCCAGGGTTGAGCAAGCTTTTCTCTGCAGAACTAGCCAGTCAGTGTGTGGCCTTCGCCAGCTGCACCGTGGCTGCTGCAGTTCCTCTTCTTGCAGTGCGAGTGTCCACAGAGGGTTGCTAAGTAAACAGTGGCCAGCGTTGTGTTCCCTTCAAACTTTGTTCATGCTACCAGATCGCAAAATATTTATATGTGTATGGTTTTCCTTTCTTTCTTTAAATGATAATGAAGACTGAATACAGCCTGGTGTCTTTAGATTTTTATCAAC